GGGTTTGAAAAAGTTTCGTTTAAAGATTTCTGAATAACTCTTGTATCAGTCCTCAAGAGTGTTTGAAAAATTGTTTTTGAAAGCTTTTTTGAAAGTATCGGTGTGAAAAGAAGTTTTGATTTGTTTTTGAATAGAGCAAGTATCTATGAGTCATCCACCTACCCTAAGGAATTAGGCTGTGTAAATGTCCTTAAGGTAATGCCATCCCACCATTGAGAGATAGGTAGCACCACCGTTGGAGGTGTTCGGGTCAATTTGTTTGTAGGGACAATATGGTCACCAGAGCAACAGTAGGACACCTTAGAAGCTACCCTTATGCCATTGATCCTTTTTAAATTCGAGGCAACTTTTCCGAGGCAACTTGTTTTGAGGCATATGGATCAACGTACATAAGGACTTACTAAAATGTCCTATACTCGACGACCACGTTTCGAAGGTAAGGCAACAGTGAGGCGTACCCTAAGAGTGGTGTGTGAATTTGTGTGTTGCTTTCATGTTATGTTTTATCTTGTACATGTACCATGGTGATCTACGCTTATTTTTAATTTAGGCCATACATTCTTTCATGCAATTAGAATTTAAAAGTGCGGTAATTAAAATGCGGAAAGATAAATCCTACGCTATTACAAGGCGCGGGTCTATACATCGCCAAATTACAAAGACCCGTTTTAAAAAACGCGGAAAGTAAAACCTAGTGACTATTACATGGCTTGAACAATTACATAATATTCACAAAGGAAAAATAAGAATAAATGCGCGAAAAGAATAAAAATAGAACGTTCGAGGGCGTTGGACCCTTTTGAAATTAAAATTAAAAGCTAATTAATTATTAATTTAAAGAAAAGAAATGTTTTTTAGGTTTTTGGTATTCATGAGAGAAAGAAATTAAAATTGAAGAGAAACCCTAATTCTAAGTTGTTTTTAATTATTAATGAAAAAGTTAAAGTTTAAAACCTAATTTACATAATATTTAATGTACATGTTTATTTACAAAATATTTAATAATTAATAATAATAATAATGATGAGAAAATCATTTAAGAAAAAAAAATGATGAAAAGTTAAGAAACCCTAATTTCTACATATTTTAATTTGTTAAGAAAAATATTAAAGTTTTGAAACCTAAATTAATCTAATTAATGGTTTGACATTTATTTACAAAAAATAATAATGAATTAAATATTAATTAAACATATTTTTAGTTTTTTTGATTTTCTGGTTTTATATTATAAAAATTAATTTATGAAATTTAAAGAAAAAAACAATTAAAAACAATTAAAAGAATAAAAAGGAAAATCAAATAAAAAATAAAAATGATGCAAACCATAGGGGGTGTCTGGCCCATTTAGGAGGTGAATTTGAGCAATTTGGCCCATCAGAATCCAAGGCTTTCTTGACTTTCAGGAATCACGTGTGAAGTGGTTGACTAGTGTATATCATGGACTGCATGTTCTGGCCTTCAGATTGAAGCTCATGGGCGCGTGGCAGGCTTGGAGGTGAGGTTGTATGATGGACTCTGAAGAAGGCGCTACGTAGGAACACCTTAAGACAAAAATTATTAAACGTTTGGGGGGACCTGGGAATCGAACCCAGGTCCCAGTACCTGCAGGACACCTCAGCCACCAACTGAACCAACGCGTTTCTTTGTAATGTTAGTGGAACGTGATTATTATAAAAAAGAACAAAAGTTAGTAATATGAACAACAAAATCACGCGCCAAATTTGAATGGTCCAGTAACATCAAGCCACGCATGCTTCTTCTCCGTTTTGTACCTGCAAATATAATCAAATAGCGGGGGTTTTAAACCCCCACTAACTGCAATTCAGGAAAATAGCGATTAGCATATGCCTCAATATAAAAAAGGCGCGAGGTCATCATTCAGTTCGTCTTGTTGCCATGAATTCAATGGCATATGTTTGGTGGCCTGGTTTTTCCATATGAAGAAACCCCTAATTTTGAGCTTCTGAAAACCTAATATCCATCAATGGTAGATTTTGATATAGGCATTGTTAGGACAATTAAATGGTACCATTAGCTTCAGAACATCAATATTAGCAAGAATCAATAATTAAAACTCATGAATAATGTATGTAAATTAAAAAATGATTAGGGACATGTTCATGAAGAAGGCGATGTTGTTCTACCAATTCTTGGGGTCTGGAGACTGGTTCTTGATTGCAACACGTTCCTAGCAATGTCATGAATGTATTGGAAGGCTTGTTGTGCTTTGAAACGCCTTGTAACTCTGTTTTCAGATTTCAAAATTTTGGTGAAAAATGCAACTTTGTTCTATGGCCTCTCAGCAGCTTTTCGTGTGTAATGGAATAGGGTTATGTTATGCCTTTGTAGGTGAATGGAATTAGGTCAAGAAACAAGCCCATAATCCATTGAATTAATGATTCCAATCTTTGATTTTTTTCACATCTTTTTTCAATCTTTTTGCCATGGAAAACTTGCCAAATTGGGATGATTTTGCCTTGTTGATTGATGCACGAAATCTCTTACATGTGTGGAAGATATTTGCTGCATAAAAAGATTTAAAAAACATGATTTGGTATTTTTCTTATATTTAAATTTAATCAAATGAATTAATGATAATAAAAATTCAAATAATTAATCAAAAATAAGAAAATAACTCCCTTTGAGCTTAATGGGTCGTGCATAGCCTTTGGGTAATGATTCATGAAAGAAATTGAGGCCCATTAGCATTTTTGAAGCCTTTTGTGCAAAGTTGACTTTTCAAAATTCCCAAAAATTTCCCAACTTCTCCAAGGCATATCTTGCTCAATTTTGAAGCTATGATCATGTTCTTGGACATTTTGGAAAGGTCTTGAAGTCCTATAACCAATGTCTTTCGTCCCATGTCATTTTGATTTACCAATCTCAAATTATGGTCTTTGACTTAAAGTGCCTTTTTGTTGACTCTTGAAAATGACCTATAATGTTGAAATTGATAACTTTTTGTGAGATCATTTCTTGGACTTGAAGTGTGAAGATGAGTTGTAGGAAATGTCATCCTATTCAAAATGAGCTTTGGATGGAATTTTTATGATAAACCATGAGGAAGTTATGCCTTGGTCAATTTGCAGTTGACTTTTTCAACTGTCCAAAAATAGAAACTTTTGCATCTTGAGACTTTTTGAGCCATGCTTTGAGAATCATGATCAATAATTGATCAAATGATGTTTGTGGCTTCAAAATAAGATGTTGACCAAAAATTTGGACTTTTGACTGTCAAATAACCATTTTGCCCCTGCAGTTGACTGTGAAGCATTTAGGGTTTTTGACTGTGCAATTTGATGCTGTGAGTCTTGAAACTTGGCATATGGATGTTTGACAATGTATGTAGGCATGTGGGACTTGATTGGACTCTTGAAAACTTCAATTTCTTTGCAAGAACCAAAACCCTAATTTTGACTGTGTTAGGAGGCAATTGGACTGTGCAACCCTTGAGAGATTTTGAAGCTTGATCTTGGCAAATCTTGAAGAATATGGGAGGGCAAATTTTGGGGTACAACACAAACAATTATCTATTAATGTCAAACTTTGTTTTATTAATGCATTGCATATGTTTGTCTTGATTTGATCCACTCATTTTCATTACATTTAAACTATGCTTTTTTTACTCTCTTTATGACATTAAACTCTTGCTAAAAGTTACAAGCCTTTAGAAGGAGGATGACGAAAACAATGCCATAATCTCATACAGTATGCTTTTGAACAGATCTTGCTGATAATGTACATGCATTCCTTCAAATCCTAAACACTGGAGTTATAAGGAAGATAATCTCTAGTCAACCCCTTCGAGCCAAAGAAGTAGAAGTTTTATTTCTTACACAAATCGAAAACTTTAATCAAAACCTGGGGCAGGGTAGTCTCTCAGTTGATTCAAACGCGCGTTTAGCCGCAAACTCTCATTTTGTAATACAACGAATGACATCAAAAACATTCCTCTGAAATCAAAAGACAGTGAGGGTTCCCTATTGTAATACCCCAAATTTGTCCTACCCTTTTACTTCCTATCTGGCTTACACATTTTTGCATTTTTCTCACATTTATAATTTCCATTAGGTCATCTAACACATCATGCATCATTAATTGATAAATTGGCATAAGATCATGGATCTCGAGGAATAAGGGTTGGTGTATGGCTTTAAGGCTCCCATCTTCACACAAGCTTGTTTCGGGTGATTTCTCCATTAATAATTTGTTTGAAGCTAGGTTTTCATTTCGTGGATCTTATCATCATCAAGCTACGAGGATATTATTTTCTTCTCAATGTCAAGTTGCAAGGTTTTATGAGACGAAGCTAAAAATTAGGGTTTATACATTTTCATACTTGAGCTTGTCAGCATTCTACCTGAGGTTCATTCCATATCAAGGTATTCACATGTATCATCTTTCATATTCATCTGCAAAGAATCCCTCAGGGCATAGTCATTATCATCTATTGAGAAGGGGTCAAAGACGTTGTTGTTCTAGTGCTCATATAGTCGGGACATGGTACAAGATGTTGATTGTGATCAAGGTGTCATTATTTCAAATGCTTATTGCTTGACATGCAAATTTGGTTTAGATCAGAAAATTGAATTGAATTAGGGATTCACTGAAGTTGTAGTTTGATTAGAATTCATTCATTAATATTTGAAGTGGATTTGGAGAAAATCAAAGTTCTTAAATATTTGCGTGGCTTTTCTAGGAATTCAAACCACAAGTATGAAAAAGCATGCATCAAATTCATCCAACCATCAAAATATCGTCCAAATAGCCTCTCTTGGATTCATTCAAGATTCATGTCTCTTTTGATTACCTTGCAAATATTTTGGATTCATACCATTTATTTGAATTCATACAAAGGCCATTTCATTATGTGGAAATAAAGTCAACATACATTCCAATGTGTATTCAAATACATACAAGTCCAAATTCCATTACAATTATACATGACATCTATACATTTTTACCAAAACCTATCCTAATTTTCAATCATTCTTCATGTTTCAAACTTCAAGCTTCCAAAACTTCGTATTATGCGTCTTTTGTTCCAACTTCATATCATCTCCAAACTCATTCAAATCCTCACTTGGTGTTTTCCTTTTGCCTTTGCTTCCCAATAGCCCTGATATGAACCAAACCTGCAAAAATATTGGATAAACTGTCATAAGCATGAACCGCTTACACTACCGCTAGTACACTAACTTGCAACAGAAAATAACATAACAAAACTTCTAACGGTTTCTAACCATAACTAACCTCTAACATAATTCCATAGCCTCACTAACCAACTGAAAATAACAGATTTATGCAGTCCTCTAACTAATTTTCTAACCTCCTTAACAATCCAAACATCATAACAGCCCCTTAACTGCATAACCACATTAAAAAAATAGTTAACTCTCAAACCTTCTAACCGCTTCTAACAGATTCAAACTAACAGCTAACAAACTTCCATAACCCAAAAAATAGAAACAGCTCTGTAACCAACTGCATAATAGAATTTTTGATTTCCTAACCAACTAACAGTCCAACCAACCACCTAAACCAATTCATAACAGCCTTTAACCAACTTTCTATACAATCTAACAAACTCCCTTACAGAAAAAGGAGAGAGCATATAACAGAATTTCAGTTTTTAGATTGAGGAGACTCAGATTCATCATTTTTCAACTCTACAGTAGAGATTAAGACAAAAACTTACCAATTGAGATTCCCACTGGAATTCTGTAGAAGAATCTTCATCTTTCCCTGCTCTGATCTCATTCTCCCCTCCATAACCATCCTTCTCCCCTCTCTACAACAACCACATTGCACACCTTCAAACACCTTCTTCAACCTTCAATTCTTCATAACTACTTCACAATCACCTCTATCGCTTCTTGAACCTCCATTGTACTCTTCAAGCTTCTGCAAAACTCCATAGCAGCACCTTTAATTATCTTCTATCTTTAAACGGTTTTCATCTTCATCAGTGTCTCTGCACTCTCTTTGAATCACATCGTCATCTTCATATTTAAACCAAACCCTCATCTCTCAAAAAATCTTTCTGAAATTCTTGGAACTTCAGCATCACAATAATATCCCTTCAACTTTCATCTCTGAAACAAAATTCATTGTTCCTTCAACATCACCATCTTCGCATCAACATCATTGAGTCTTCACAATATATGTCATCAATCAACACGAATTCGCAACGCACATCAACAAACTGCATCAGTAGCAACATCACGACGCCGCAGAAGACGGAAAATTTGAAAGCGAGAAGAAGAAGAGGTGTATTCGTACCTAAGCTTATGGAATCTCATTTCTGGACTTCTGAGCATCGTCTTCGTCAAGAATGGCGGTGTGTGTTTGATTTGTTCTTCATTCATCACGTCAATAATTATGTTAAGAAGAAGGTGAAGCGGAGTTAAGACAAATGACGAAAGGCGAAGGAAATCGTCGGAGATACCTCCATGGTGGCGGTGTGCTGTTAGGAGAAAGAGAGAAAGGAATTTCTGCCGCGTTTTGAGAAGGAAATCGTGTTTGTAAGAAGTTGAATACGGCACGGTCTGAGAAAGAAGACGATGGTGAGATAGCCGCGCCGTTCGAGCACCGTTGATGAAGGAAGAAGAAGACGATGGTGAGATATCCGTGCCGTTCGAACACCGTCGATGAAGGAGAGAAGGGAAGGTAGCGGCACCGTCGTGGAGGAAGAAGGGAGACAGATCTCAGTCTTCTTAACCCTATTCCCTTTTCAATTTTCATATCTTTTCTTTTTTAGTTTTAATTGTTGCACTGTTTTATTTTTATTTATTTCTAATTCAAATTAATAATAAGTATAACTAAATTGATAATTATAAAATATGCTGGAAAATGAGGAATTATTTAGACTGGGCCTCACTTTTTGCTTTAGGCCCGTGTTGTTGTTTTTTAGCCTGAAGAAATTGAATAAAATTTTTTTTGGGCAAATTACTGCACTACACCCCTGAATTCAGCTCATACCTCCTGACTCTTCTAATTTTTATTTTTTATTATTTTAGTTTTCTTCTAGTTTAATTTTCTCTCTCAATTGATAATAAAAATAATAGAATATTTTAGAATTCTTTAGAATTTCTTTTTTAGAATTTCGATTAGAATTTTTTCTATTTTATTTTTCATATTCGATAATCATTTTTATTGCCATTTTCTAGTCAAGATTTTTGTAGCATCGACATAACTCTTGCAATGTGGAATGCTCGGGGTGAATTCTTCAATCACTTGCCCAAGGGAACTTTGGTAGAATTTTCTTACCGCTTGCACAATTTTGAAGAGGCAACGGACCTTCTCCGTTCGGTATCGTCACAACCCTATTTTATTCTTCATTTCGGCACTTTATCGCAATCCGTATGCATGCTAACATTAGGTAGAATTCCCTCAAAATTCTAACTTTAGGTCTAACCACGCATAATAGCATTAGGTTTAGAAGTAGGCTAGTCCCAAGTTGACTTTTCTTTCCCTTTCGCATACTCATCTAAAACTAAAACTTCTTTTCTTTCAAAATTCAAAACACTTTAAACTACTGATGAGAATCATGCTTTTGCTTAGTACGGGAAATGATAAGCGGGTCTCTTCTCGATCTTATTATTCTTCATCTCAAGCTTAGGTGTGGTTCAATTCTCAAAGACTCCTTTCATGACTAAGTAGAAAAATGGCTAATATCTCTCTCTTGAGGTCAGTCAGTCATCATCTACAACAAAAATACAAAACAAATTCAAACCACTTTTGTGCGTTCAAGCACCTTTCATAAAAAAAAAACCTTTTCAGGTAAGGACACGATTAATTTACTTCTGTGCCAACGTATAAGTCTCCAAACGTCGAGCTGCGGCAGAAGGCGGAATTAACTTCGTCCACAAAAAACATCTACAACAAAAATACAAAACAAATCCAAACCATTTTGTGCGCTCGAGCACCACCTTCTCTCTAAAACCCTTTTCAGGTAAGGACATGATTAGTTCACTTCTGTGCCAACGCATAAGTCTCCAAAGGTCGAGCTGCGGCAGAAGGCGGAATTAACTTCGTCCACCAAAAACATCTACAACAAAAATACAAAACAAATCCAAACCATTTTGTGCGCCCGAGCACCACCTTCTCTCTAAAACCCTTTTCAGGTAAGGACATGATTAGTTCACTTCTGTGCCAACGCATAAGTCTCCAAAGGTCGAGCTGCGGCAGAAGGCGGAATTAACATTGTCCATAAAAAACACAAACAAATAAAAACATAAGAGCCGAACTACGGTAGCTCTGATTCCTCAAAAAGGATACGTAGGCATTGGGGTAGGGCCCAGGCGAGCACAATTTTATTTTCCCTACATTCTTTTCTCCTTTCTTTTGCATGCATTTTCCCTCCAGTAGTATAGTAGACAGTAAGCATAGATTAAACACACCCATAAGATAGATAACAAGAGTGGATACCGTAGAGTACTACAGGCGTGTGGGGTGCTAATACCTTCCCCTCGCGTAACAGACTCCCTTACCCGATCTCTCGGTCGCAAGACCGTGACTTCTCCCTTCTCAGGTTTTCTCGATGTTTACCTTTCCCTACATGTGGGATAAAAGACGTTCGATGGCGACTTCATTGTTTGATGATTTTCAGCCGGTTGTTTCACCTATCACATAGGCAGTCACCATTTTTTAAAAAAAAAAGAGTAAAACCCACTAAGTCAAAACCTTCAAAGGAGACTTAAGAAAACTGGGGCGTCCCGCTGACTGTGATCTCAAAACAGGAACATTCAGGCAAAAATTAGGGATAACAAGTCAAAAGAAAGAGGTCACTACAAATCCTCAACAACACGAAAAATGTGCAAAAATGAATGCCTTCCGACAAACTTAACCTGTCTGAACTATCACCAAAACGTCATTCCAGACTCAATTGGAGTTCAAACGCATAATTAACTGAGCTTAAGACTGAAGAACATCACGAAGAACGGGTGGATACAAATACACTTTGAGCCTTTATCCTTTGTTTCTTAAACCGTGAACCAAGCCATGTTCCAACCCTTCAAAAGTTCTAATTGAAGTATGGGTTAGTTCGAAAGCATACTGTTACAAAAGGTATCGTGACTCCTGTAAGACTTTACTCAAAATCCAAAGTTGAATTACAAACTTCTTTACTTGCTGAAAATTCACTTTTCAAAACTTCAAGACAAACATAAACTTTTCATTACTTGAATATCACTGTTTGCATATGGCTATTTGTTTGACAACGGAGAAATTCACACAATGAATATCCAGTGAACGAAAGCTCTCTCAGTGAAAAAAATCAATTCAAGAAGGATGACACTTCCATTGACAAATCTCCTATCGACAGGGGGACATGACATGTCACTATCCAGCACACCTGGGGCAGTTCAGTCAAGATTCCAAGAAATCTCTCAAGAATTGTAGAGTAACCAGGGGCAGGTCTCCATCTCTGTCACTCGGGGCATTGTGCGTCAATCCCAACAAAGGGTTACGTACCGTCAAACATTTTCAGGCAGTGCCACAGACACTCACTACTAGGGGCAGTGACAAATCTCCCCAAAATCCTTCTCATAGGATGATTCCCCAGCCAGAGTTTAATCTCTGAAAACCTTTCCCCAGTTGAGACAACCTCAAGAGTCCTCGAAGACTCTCCCCAACGAAGTTGTCACCTCTCTAGCTGACTAGAAACAGGGCTTATTTCCCCAACAAACTACAGATTCCCCAGCTTGAGTTTGCCTCTCCGACTACTACAAATTAAAGGACCACAACTCCTCTTCCCCAGTAGACTACTCTACAATCCCCAACAAGTTACTGTGAAACTTGGACCCGACCAGATATCAGTTCAACTTCAACTCCCCAGTAGAGCAACGGACAACTGAGACTCCTGAACTCTTTTCCCAAGCAAGAATAAATGTTCTCCCCACAGAGTTTTCAATACCCCCCAGCGGAGTTTATCCTCAAAGAACAAAACAGGAATCCCCGGTGGAAACATTCTAAGCAAAGTTTGAAGACACACATACTCTTCAACAACAGTCCAGGATTTAACAAACTCCCCGACAGTTGTCTAGGATTTATTTTCCCAGACAAAAATACATTCATAAACATTTCACATTTCATACATCCTATTTACATACATGATAAGTGCATACGACACAATCTAATATATTTTGAGAACATCATGACATCATGCATTTCATACATCATGACATTGCATACAACTAACGTTTTACCTTTTCAGGAAAAGGTCAATCAACAAATGCCTACCATCAACCTTTTCAAGTTCCATATTAACACCAGTAACAAGCTAGGAAAACTATCTGTGCATGACTGATTGTAGATTAATACCTGTAACAAGCCAGGAAAACTATCTACATGAAGAGATTGAAGATTAACACCTGTAACGAGCCAGGAAAACTATCTTTCTTTCTCAGGTCAATGATTAACACATAAAATCAGACAGGACAACTATCTACTTGACCATCATCAGGCAACCCTACACCAGTTCCCTCTCTTTCCAAGATGAAGTTTTACACGGACTAATCATTGAAGCAACCCTACACAGGTTCCTTCTCAATTCAGGATGCGGTTTTACACGGACTCATCATCAGGCAACCCTACACCGGTTCCCTATCTTTCCAAGATGAAGTTTTACACAGACTCATCATTGAAGCAACCATACACAGGTTCCTTCTCAATTTAGGATGCAGTTTTACACGGACTCATCATCAGGCAGCCCTACACTGGTTCCCTCTCTTTCCAAGATGAAGTTTTACATAGACTCATCATTGAAGCAACCCTACACAGGTTCCTTCTCAATTCAAGATGCAATTTTACACGGACTCATCATCAGGCAACCCTACACCGGTTCCCTCTCTTTCTAAGAAGAAGTTTTACATGGACTCATCATTGAAGCAACCCTACACAGGTTCCTTCTCAATTCAGGATGCGGTTTTACACGGACTCATCATCAGGAAACCCTACACCGGTTCCCTCTCTTTCCAAGATGAAGTTTTACACGGACTCATCATTGAAGCAACCCTACACAGGTTCCTTCTCAATTCAAGATGCAGTTTTACACAGACTCATTGTGATACGGTGGGGGAACTGACTTGGGATTTTGCGTTTGTGTTCGCAAATGTTTCGGTTTAGCAAGAGTCGCCACCTACTTTTTATTTTATCCTAAGGAAAGGTCAAAAAGCACAGGAAAGACCTTTGAGATGTTTTCTTGGGTTCGGGGAGTAGTGTGATACGGTGGGAGAACTGACTATGGTTTTGCGTTTGTTTTCGCAAATGTTTCTGTTGAGCAAGAGTCGCCACCGACTTTTTATTTTATCCTAAGGAAAGGTTTAAAAAGCATAGCAAAAACCTTTGAGATATTTTCTTGGATTCGGGGAGTAGATTATAGAAAGGGAAGGTATTAGCACCCTTTCTATCCATGGTTATCCATGGGCTCTTAGATACTTGCTTAGATCAACTTGCCTTGGTTTTCAATTGTTTGAAATGGTGCTTTGTGTGTGGTTTTGAAAATGTTTTAAAAAAGATGCCTTGTCTAGGCTACCCTTGTAACAATTCTTTACTCGAATGTTTTACAAAAGGTGTTTGTCTTTTTGAAAAGATGTTTCAAGGTTTTTGAAAGTTTGTTTTGAAAGTGTGGTTTGAAAAATAGGCAAGTGTTTTTGTTTTGCAAGTTGACAAGTACTTAAGAGCTATCTACCCTAAAGTTCTCAAAGATTTTTGCTATGTTTTAACCCTTTTAACAATTTTGT